AAAAGAAAAACTTTCACCATCATTCACTCCATCACTGTCTTGCCAGAAGAGTGTTTTACACTTCAGTTTTTAAACTGCAACATTAACACCCCTCCTTCAGAGTGCAGGCATTGTACTTCCCATCTCCAGGACTCAAGTCCGGCCTGCCGGTTTCCCTGAATCCCTTCATAAATGTTACTTTGCTCACACTCCAACAGCACGTCGAGTATTAAAAACCATTTGTTTCCATTCACTCCTATCAAACATGCTCCCGCATGCCCGCTGGAAGTCCTAGCACCTCACACAAAACCTCCTTTACCCCCTCCCTCTAACCTTTCCTAGGCCGACCCCTACCCTGCCTTTCTTCCGCTACAGACTGATACACTCTTGAAGTCAATCTGTTTCGCTCCATTCTCTCTACATGTCCAAACCACCTCAACAACCCTTCCTCAGCCCTCTGGACAACAGTTTTGGCAATCCCGCACCACCTCCTAACTTCCAAACTACGAATTCTCTGCATTATATTCATACCACACATTGCCCTCAGACATGACATCTCCACTGCCTCCAGCCTTCTCCTCGCTGCAACATTCATCACCCATGCTTCACACCCATATAAGAGCGTTGGTAAAACTATACTCTCATACATTCTCCTCTTTGCCTCCAAGGACAAAGTTCTTTGTCTCCACAGACTCCTAAGTGCACCGCTCACCCTTTTCCCCTCATCAATTCTATAATTCACCTCATCTTTCATAGATCCATTCGCTGACACGTCCACTCCCAAATATCTGAATGCATTCACCTCCTCCATACTCTCTCCCTCCAATCTGATATCCAATCTTTCATCACCTAATCTTTTTGCTATCCTCATAACCTTACTCTTTCCTGTATTCACTTTTAATTTTCTTCTTTTGCATACCCTACCAAATTCATCCACCAACCTCTGCAACTTCTCTTCAGAATCTCCCAAGAGCACAGTATCATCAGCAAACAGCAACTGTGACAACTCCCACTTTGTGTGATTCTTTATCTTTTAACTCCACACCTCTTGCCAAGACCCTCGCATTTACTTCTCTTACAACCCCATCTATAAATATATTAAACAACCACGGTGACATCACACATCCTTATCTAAGGCCTACTTTTACTGGGGAAATAATCTCCCTCTTTCCTACATACTCTAATTTGAGCCTCACTATCCTCGTAAAAACTCCTCACTGCTTTCAGTAACCTACCTCCTTTATCATACACCTGCAACATCTGCCACATTGCCCCCCTATCCACCCTGTCATACGCCTTTTCCAAATCCATAAATGCCACAAAGACCTCTTTAGTCTTATCTAAATTCTGTTCACTTACATGTTTCACTGTAAACACCTGGTCCACACACCCCCTACCTTTCCTAAAGCCTCCTTGTTCATCTGCTATCCTATTCTCCATCTTACTCTTAATTCTTTCAATAATAACTCTACCATACACTTTACCAGGTATACTCAACAGACTTATCCCCCTATAATTTTTGCACTCTTTTGTCCCCTTTGCCTTTATACAAAGGAACTATGCATGCTCTCTGCCAATCCCTAGGTACCTTACCCTCTTCCATACATTTATTAAATAATAGTACCAACTACTCCAAAACTATATCCCCACCTGCTTTTAACATTTCTATCTTTATCCCATCAATCCCAGCTGCTTTACCCCCTTTCATTTTACCTACTGCCTCACGAACTTCCCCCACACTCACAACTGGCTCTTCCTCACTCCTACAAGATGTTATTCCTCCTTGCCCTATGCATGAAATCACAGCTTCCCTATCTTCATCAACAATTAACAATTCCTCAAAATATTCCCTCCATCTTCCCAATACCTTCAACTCTCCATTTAATAACTCTCCTCTCCTATTTTTAATTGACAAATCCATTTGTTCTCTAGGCTTCCTTAACTTGTTAATCTCACTCCAAAACTTTTTCTTATTTTCAACAAAATTTGTTGATAACATCTCACCCACTCTCTCATTTGCTCTCTTTTTACATTGCTTCACCACTCTCTTAACCTCTCTTTTTCTCCATATACTCTTCCCTCCTTGCATCACTTCTACTTTTTAAAAACTTCTTATATGCTAACTTTTTCTCCCTTACTACTCTCTCTACATCATTCCACCAATCGCTCCTCTTCCCTCCCGCACCCACTCTCCTGCAACCACAAACTTCTGCTGAACACACTAACACTACAGTTTTAAACCTACCCCATACCTCTTCGACCCCATTGCCTATGCTCTCATTTGCCCATCTATCCTCCAATAGCTGTTTATATCTTACCCTAACTGCCTCCTCTTTTAGTTTATAAACCTTCACCTCATGTCTGGTGTGAATACAATGCAGAGAATTCATAGTTTGGAAGTTAGGAGGAGGTGTGGGATTGCCAAAACTGTTGTCCAGAGGGCTGAGGAAGGGTTGTTGAGGTGGTTCAGGCATGTAGAGAATGGAACGAAACAGAATGACTTCGAGAGTGTATAAATCTGTAGTGGAGGGAAGGCGGGGTAGGAGTCGGCCTAGGAAAGGTTGGAGGGAGGGGGTAAAGGAGGTTTTGTGTGTGAGGGGCTTGGACTTCCAGCAAGCATGTGTGAGCATATTTTATAGGAGTGAATGGAGACAAATGGTTTTTAATACTTGACATGCTGTTGGAGTGTGAGCGAAGTAACATTTATGAAGGGATTCAGGGAAACCGGCAGGCCGGACTTGAGTCCTGGAGATGGGAAGTACAATGTCTGCACTCTGAAGGAGTTTCAGTTTTATAAACTGTAGTGTAAAGCACCCTCTGGCAAGGCAGTGATGGAGTGAATGATGAAAGTTTTTCTTTTTTGGGCCACCCTGCCTTGGTGGGAATCAGCCAATGTGTTAATAATAAAATAATAGAAAAAAAATGAAAGCAAAAACGATGCAATTGTAAAAATGCTAGATCTGCTTTAAACAGCACTGGAAAATAAGGAATATCCATTAGGACTATTTATTGACCTAAGGAAAGCTTTTGACACAGTAGACCACAGCATCCTACTCTACAAACTTGACCATAATGGTACAAGAGGCCATGCACTTGCATATTTCAGTACGTCACCATTAAAGACACAACCTCATCAACAAGACCACTTGATACTGGAGTGCTACAGGGAAGTGCCCTTGGTCTCCTGCTCTTCCTCTTATACATCAATGATTTTCCCAGTGTATCACAACCCCTGAAACCAGTTCTCTTTGCTGATGACAATACTTGTGTCATCTCCCACCCAAATCTTGCCACACTCAACACCGTTGTTAATGAGGAGCTACTAAAAATATCTACTTGGTTGGCAGCCAATAAACTTACACTTAACACTGACAAAACCTTCTATATTATGTTTGGTAACAGAGCAGGTGTTGCACAACTTAACATTAGGATTGACAACACTCTTATTGCCAAACATAATGAGGGCAAATTCCTTGGCCTACACCTCAACAGGAACCTGAAATTCAACACCCATATCTAACACACAACAAAAAAGTATCCAAAACGGTTTGGATCCTCTCCAAGATACGTTACTACGTGCCACAATAAGCTCTTCTCACACTATACTATTCACTCATCTATCCCTACCTCACCTCACCTATGCTATTTGTGCCTGGGGATCAACAGCAGCAACACACCTAAAGCCAGTAATAACCCAACAATAAGCCACAGTAAGAATAATCATGCAATCCAATCCCAGGCAACCCCCTTCCCCTTCCCCCCACTGTTCAAAGATCTAAACTTACTGTACAGAACACCCACACTTACTATTGTGCACCCTACATTTACAGAACCGTAAATTCCAATGTTAACCCTGAACTAAAACACTTTCTTGATAGTTGTGACAGGACCCACAGGCACAACATCAGGCACAAAAATCTGAGACATTCCGCATGTCCGGCTAAACCTTTACAAAAATTCACTGTGCATAAAAGGACTTAAAATCGGGAACACCCTACCTGAAAACTCTAGAACTGCAGACACAACCATTGCTTTCAAAACTACCATTAAAAAATGTCTTATCTCCCTGACACACCCCACCGTCAGCTAACTACGTGAAAACCACCTATTCTCTTACTTGTATCATACACACACAAAAAACAAACTAGACCTACTCTTGATATCTATGATTCCCCCCAATTTACACTTACACTCACCCAAATGACTGTAAACATAAAATTACGTAATAAAGCTATTACCTAATGAATCTTAAACTAGTCATAAGTTTGCCTGAGATACTCCAGTATAGGAGTTTTAATAGAAACTATGTATCATGCCGAGACAAAACCATTCTCATTGCTGAATTTACAAACTGTAATGCAGTTACCTAGCCTTAATATCAATATGCTCCATAACCTGTATCAATATAGAGTTTGAATTATTGTTAGTCTCTCCGAAATGCCTAGTCATGCTAGGCATGGTAGTGGCCCTCTTTGTAATTAGTATTTTATAATATGTAAACCACACATTGTAACCAATATTTTATAATATGTAAACCCCACATTATAATCTTTATAGAGAATAAACTTTTGATTTGATTTGGTGTTTGAGGGCGTCTTGTTTAAAATGTAAATATGGAGTGACACTGGTGTCAGTAAAGTCGATCTATATGAGAGAGAGTGAGTTAGTGTTAATACATGATATGGATAAATGAGGAGGAGTTTAATGTTTCTTTGCACTAAAACTGAAGTATTGACTGGTGGAGTGTGCATTAGTGAGTTACGTACAGGCAGATATTGAAACCTTGCCTTTTTTTAGTATGTAATTTGTGAATTAAAAGTGGTATAAATTCGGTCAACACTGATAGGGAGTTCCTAGTGTGGCTTTTCAGTGAGAATAGCTTGGCAGTAGGTAAGGTTATCATTTTGAGTCCATTGAGAATATTATTGATTAAGTTTTTCTTCGGTAAGAGAGCTGCTTCTCAAGTTTAATTTTTTTATTTATTCAGAATGATAAAACTGATTTAGTTTAATTTCTTTTAGCTGATGATGGCATCATCTTTCAAGAAAAGAAATCTAGCTTGAGCTATAAACTGCGTAAAGAAATGAAGAAGGAGAGGAAGGAGAAACGAAAAGAGGAAAAAGAGAAACAGAGGCAGGCTGAAGGAAAGGACAAATTTCAAGACAAGGACAAGAATGGGGGACCAACTGTGTCTGAACTGGTAGGGTCTTTCTCCCTTTTCAGAAAATGTGACTTTTTAAATGCTATTTTTTTCCTTGCCACAGTTTTAAGCATTATCATGGAAAATGGATTGTAGCTTTCTTATTGTCATAAAGCTTTATTTTGCTAACTTCTGCTCTATATCACATTTCCCTTTCAGTCTCATTTCTGTCTTGCAGGGACAAGGTTGATCAAACAGTTTATGTAGCTCATTATCCTATTCATTGTCCTTAGCTTTCTTACAGTGAGCCAAAGTGATAAGTTTCTTAAAAACTGTTTAAAGTAGTAAATTATTATAGTGCTGTATTCATTATAATCATCAAGATAGACCTATGCTTTCATTTCCACTCAAAAGAATAAATAAGACACATTTTCAACAACTGGTTATCCTTGAGGTTTTTCGTCTGCTCAGCAAGTGAAAAGTCTCAGTAAAGATACCCAGGTGTTGCATATGTTCTTATTTATCAACCTGTCGGTATTATACCTTCGCTCTAACGATTCTCCTTCTTTTAACAAACCAGCCGTATCCCACCGAGGCAGGGTGGCCCAAAAAGAAAAAGAAAAAAAAGCTTCTCTTTTTTAACCCTTTGACGGTTTTGGTTGTATATATATGTCTTACGAGCCACCGTGTTTGACGTATATATTTATTTATTTATTTATTTATTTATTTTATATCTTTGCAAACAGTACATTGAGATTTTATATTTACAATAGTGGGTTGCAATGCAAAGAGAGCCTCTATTATGCCTTGGCATTATGGGCCAACTTAACATTATTGGCTTACAGACTACTTAACACTAAGGTTTTTATCATAGTTGTACAGTAGGACAGTAATTATTTTTATAGTTGAACAGTAGATTAAATTTAAATTATAAGTGAATTAAATTTGTATAAGAAAAAGGATATATTCTTAGTCTAAAATGCTTTTTGTGGAAAACAATGGTTCAATTATATTCCTGTCAACAATGGATAAAAGGTTCAAAGTGATTGTTAAAGTTATGATGTTTGGGGAAAACATAGGTGAGTAGGTGTACTGAGTATTTAGAGTTCAGTCTAGGGTGATTAAGTGGGGTTTTGAGAAGAGTCTTAACTGATTTTCAGACTGGGTTTATTTAATATCTTTGGTAAGAATTCCATATTTTAGGGCCCTTTAAGTGCATAGTTTTTACCCAGTGTGATAAGGACATGAGGTATATCAAAAAGAGTTTTGTCTGTGCTTGGTGGGTTTTTTTAAGTGGTGAGGAAAATTTGAGTGGGGGTTTTAATTTTTTTGGTGTATTTTTTCGTGTATTTTAGTGGCACATGAATAAAGTTTGGATTTTCTTAATGGAAGCGATTCAACTTTTAAAAATTTGGGGGAGTGGGGCGGGGAGGGGGGAATTCTCATTTTACTTGCCTTTTGCGGGTTTTTGAGGGGTTTTAGGTGAGGAATTGTTGTCCCATGCCAAATTCCTATGTAAAAAAGGGTATATGAGGTTGGTACAGTGCCGGAGACGATTGTGGAACGTATACCTTTTCTTTTATGTAGCTACATCTAGGGGATTTTCTTGGTGATTTGGTTATGTTGTCCGGGAAAAATTTTCTACTGTCAATTGGATACCTGGAAATTTTTCCCCCTGTGGTTTTGATGATGAACCTTTAGCTTATGTTAATCGGGTCATTTGCAGCTTTATTTCCAAACTGAATGAAATAGGTTTTATCAGTATTCAGGGTAAGTTTATTAGTCTTCATCCAGGCAGATATTTTCTGCAATTTGGCATTGACTGTGTTTGCTAGTATGACCGTGTTTGGGTGGGAAAAGACATATGTAGTGTCATCTGCAAATAATATGGGTTTGAGTAGCTGTGATGCATTTGGTAGATCATTGATGTAGATGAGAAAGAGGAGTGGTCCAAGGACATTTCCTTGTGAGACTCCTACTGTGATTGGTTGGTGGAAGAGTTTGCATCATTTGCATACACATATTGAGTTCTGTTACTAAGGTATGATTTTAGGTAGTTGAGGGAGTGGCCTCTGATACCATTGTGCGTTAATTTGGAATACAGCAGTTCATGGTCGACTGTATCGAAAGCTTTACGTAAATCGATGAAAATGCCCAGCGGGACTTCTTTCTTTTCGAGTGCGGTATATATTAGTTCTAGCATGTGTATGATAGCATCATTCGTGCTTTTATTATTCCTGTATCCAAACTGACAAGGGTTTAACCCTTTGACTGTCGCGGCCGTATATATACGTCTTACGAGGTACCGTGTTTGACGTATATATACTCATAAATTCTAGCGGCTTCAAATCAAGGAGAAAGCTGGTAGACCCACATGTGAGTGAATGGGTCTGTGTGGTCAGTGTGCACCACATAAAAAAAATCCTGGAGCACGCAGTGCATAATGAGAAAAAAAAACTCCGACCGTTTTTTTTTTATTAAAATGCCGACTTTGTGGTCTATTTTCGTATAGTATTTATGGTTGTATTCTCGGTTTCTTGGTCTCCTTTGATAGAATGAAAAACATATTATAGAAAAAGAGATGATTTTGATAGATTTTATTATAAAAAGAACCTGGAAATGGAGCTCAAAGTAGGGGAAATGTTTGATTTTTGCCGATGTTCGAAAGTAAACAAATGACATCATTGTCCAATAAATGTCCAACTAGCCATTCTAATATGCAGTCATGAATGGGTTGATGTTATTTATACAGTTATTACAGTATTGGAGTAGTCTGCATAATAGAAAATCTTCTATTTTTTGTTTGAATAAAAATTCAAAATAGAAAGCAAGAGTAATATCAGAGGGGCCTGGAGACATGACTGATGAACAAAGAAAATGTTATTTTAAAGCCAGGAATGTCTGCATTGTTCATTCTGGACCTTATTTTGAAATTGTCATATTTTTTAATTTTCGTGAAATTGGCCAAATTGGGTAGCTGAAATTGGTAAATGGGCAGTTTCTTGTACTCAATCGATAGAAAAAACAGAGTTCTAAAGAAATAGCTATGAGTTTGGTCAACTGGAACAATGGAATTAGCCGAAAATAGGGCTCAAAGTGGGCGAAATCACCAATTTGTAAATATCGCCAAGGTCGCTAACTTCGCGAGAGCGTAATTCCGTCAGTTTTCCATCAAATTTCGGGTTTTTGGTGTCATTACAATCAGGAAAAGATTCTCTATCATTTCATAAGAAAAAATAATTTTTTTTTTTTTTTTTGAAATTTTGCGACACCAGGAGACACCTCAGGATTGGGGGTTGCGACAGTCAAGGGTTTAATATGTTGTGTGAGACGAGGTAGGAATAGATAAGTCTATGAATTAATTTTTCAAAGATTTTATAGAGCAGTGGTAAGTTAGATATTGGTCTATAGTTATTCAAGTCAGCTTGGTCACCTCCTTTATGGATCGGAGCGATCCCTCGCTATTTTGAGGATTGTTGTGAAGGTAGATGATTCAATGGATTTGTTAAAGAGCGTTGCAATAATTGGTGACAATACTTGAGAAGCTTTTTTGTACATAAAAGCAGGCAAGTTGTTTATGTCTCCTGCCTTGTTTTTAAGGGTGTTTATGATGAGCGTAACTTCAATGGGGTTGGTTGGAGCTAGGAATAGCGTATTTGGGTAGGTACCTATGATGTAGTCTGATGGACGGGTGTTTATGGTTGGTATTTTGTTCGCTAGATTTTTACCTATGGTGGAGAAGAAAACATTGAGTCTGTTTGCTGTTTCAGTAGGTGTGAGTAGGGGTTCATCTGATTTTGTTAGTTTGATTGTTTTGTTTTTGGATAACATTTTAGTTCCAAGAATTTCAGATAGAGTTTTCCAGGTTTTTTTCATATCACCTTTGATATTATGTAGTCTATTTTCATAATACAATTTTTTAGATCTTATCAGGCTGGTAAGTGCTGACGAGTAACATTTAGACTGTTCTCTAGTTATTTGACCCATTCTATATTGTTTTTCATATTTGTGCTTTGTGTAAATTCTAGTGGCTTCAAATCAAGCAGGAGAAAGCTGGTAGGCCCACATGTGAGAGAATGGGTCTGTGTGGTCAGTGTGCACTATATAAAAAAAAATCCTGCAGCATGCAGTGCATAATGAGAAAAAAAAAACTCCCACCATTTTTTTTTTAATTAACCCTTTGACTGTTTCAGGCTCCTTTCTGAAACTGTCATTCTATGTCGCTCAATTTTTGAAAAAAAAAAATTATTTTTTCTTATGAAATGATAGAGAATCTTTTCCCGATGGTAATGACACCAAAAGTTCGAAATTTGGTCAAAAACTCATGGAATTATGCTCCCGCGAAGTTAGCGGTCTCGGCGACATATGCATATCGGCAATTTCGCCGACTTTGAGCCCTATTTTCAGCCAAACTCATAGCTATTTCTTTAGAACTCCATTTTATCTATCAGCTGAGTACAAGAAACCTCCCATTTACTAATTTGGACTACCCAATATGGTGGACAGAAATTGGCAATTTGGCCAATTTCACACAAACTAAAAAAGATGCCAATTTCAAAATAGGGTCCAGAATAAACAAGGTAGACATTCGTGGCACTAAAATAACATATGCTCTGTTCATTAGTCACATCTCTAGGCCCCTCTTATATTATTATTGCTTTCTATTTTGATTTTTGATTCATACAAAAAAATACAAAATTTACTGTTATGCAGACTACTGCATTATTGTAAAAATGGTATAAATAATATCAGTGCACTAGTGAAAGAATATTAGACTCCCCAGTTGACGTGTATTGGACGTGTGGTGTGATTTATTTACTCCTGAACATTGGTAAAAATCGAACATTTCCGCTACTTTGAGCTCAGTTTCAAGGTCGTTTTCATCGTCAAAGTAATGAAAATCATCTCTATTTCTGTAATATGTTTTCCATTTTATCACCTAAGACCATGAAAAAGCGAATACAACGATAAATACTATACGAAAATACACCTCAAAGTCGGCGTTTTATTCCAAAAAAATGATCAGTTTTTTTTTTCTCATTACGCAATGTGTGCTGCAGGATTTTTTTTATGTGGTGCACACTGACCACACAGACCCATTCTCTCACATGTGGGCCTACCAGCTTTCTCCCGCTTGATTTGAAGCCGCTAGAATTATTGAGTATATATACGTCAGAAACATTGGCTCGTAAGACGTATTTATACATCGAAAACAGTCAAAGGGTTAAAATGCCGACTTTGTGGTCTATTTTCCTATAGTATTTATGGTTGTATTCTCGTTTTCTTGGTTCCATTTGATAGAATGAAAAACATATTATAAAAATAGAGGTGATTTTGATTAATTTTACTATAAAAAGAACCTGGAAATGGAGCTCAAAGTAGGGGAAATGTTTGATTTTTGCCAATGTTCAAAAGTCAACAATTGATGTCATTGTCCAATAAATGTCCAACTAGCCATTCTAATATGCAGTTATGAATGGCTTGGACATACAGCAGGCATGTGTGAGCACATTAGATAGGAGTGATTGGACACGAATGGTTTCTGGGATTTAGTGAGCTGTTGGAATGTGAGCCATATAATATTTTGTGAAGGAATTCAGGGCAACCGGTTGGCTGGACTTGAGTCCTGAAGGTGGGAAGTACAATGCCTGCACTTAAAAGGAGGGGTTTGTGATATTTGCTGTTTGGGGTGACATCCAAACTGTCATATCTGCACGCCTCTGCAAAGACTGATTATGTGTGAATGATGGCGAAAGTGTTGAATGATAGTGAAAGTGTTTCTTTTCTGGGTCACCCTGCCTCAGTGGGAGACGGCCATGTTAAAAAAAATAGTAGTACAGTGGACCCCCGCATAACGTTGGCATCGCATAGTGTTAAATCCGCATAGTGATACATTTTATCACTAAAATTTTGCCTCGCATAGTGCTAAAAAATTCGCTCAACGCGATTCGTCCGAGACGCGGCCTGAGCCAGCCTCACTTGTTCTGCCAGTGGCATTGTTTACAAGCCAGCCTCCACAGTAACATTCAAGCATACAATCGGAACATTTCGTATTATTACAGCCTTTTTATAGTGATTTCACCTGAAAAATAAGTGACCATGGGCCCCAAGAAAGCTTCTAGTGCCAACCCTACAGGAATAAGGGTGAGAATTACTATGGAGATGAAGAAAGAGATCATTGCTAAGGTTGAAAGTGGAGTGCGTGTCTCCGAGCTGGCCAGGTTGTATAGTAAACCCCAATCAACCATCGCTTCTATTGTGTCCAAGAGAACGGCAATCAAGGAAGCTGTTCTTGCCAAAGGTTTAACTGTGGTTTCGAAACAGAGATCGCAAGTGATAGATGATGTTGAGAGACTGTTATTGGTGTGGATAAACGAAAAACAGATAGCAGGACTTGACACCTCAAGTCCTAATGGAAGAGGATTCCCCTTCTAAACACTAAAACCATCCAGTCTCCCCTCCTCCCATCCCATCAATCATCACCACATCTTCAATAAAGGTAAGTGTCATGTAACTGTGCATGTTTTCTTAAGTTTGTGTGTATTAAAATTAATATTTCATGTGGTAAAAATTTTTTTTTTTCATACTTTTCGGTTTCTTGCACAGATTAATTTGATTTCCATTATTTCTTATGGGGAAAATTAATTCGCATAACGATAATTTCGCATAACAATGAGCTCTCAGGAACGGGTTAATAGCGTTATGCGGGGGTCTACTGTACTAAATATTTTTATTATAGTCGTAAATAAACAGTGTATCACATATACAGTAGACCGTTATATTACATGGATTTATGTATTTGCCACGTTTTGGTTATTACACTATTGAAAAATTGTGGCATAATTTCATACAATACTGTACTTTGTAAAATTAACTTAACATGGTTCCGTCTGCGGGAGGGGAAAAAATTTGGAGCGTCGCCCGCGTGATATTTATCTAGCTCAGGCTGCCACCTGGCTGTGGGTCAGACCACTGTCTCAGCAGAGGAGACCTACCAATATCCCCTGCAACTCCCACCACCCCCGTCCCAGCCTTCCATGCATACACATCTAGTACAATTCTCTCCTAGGAGCTAGCTGTGTTTGTGGATTGTGTTTTGATCTTTTAATTGCCACATCTTGTATCTGCCAAGCAATCATGGCACCCAGTAGGCATAGATGTGTTGCTGAAAGTGGCAAGAAAAGGTTTAAGTATTTAAGTCTTAGAGTTACAAAGAAAATTGAGATATTAGACAAGCTTAAGAGTGGCTCACATGTGGTGGATATAGTGAGAGCCTATGGCCTTAATGAAGTGTCAGTTCATACAATTAAAATGAATGGGGTAAATCTATAAGTTTGTGTAATGAATAACCCAGGATATCATCTCGCTGACTGACTGACTGACTTGACTGACTTAACCCTTTCAGGGTCGAGAGGCTCTCTCCTAAACTCCTTCTCAGGGTCGAAAAATTTTCGGAAAAAAAAAAATTTCTTATGAAAAGATAGATAATCTTTTCCCAATCATAATGACACCAAAAGTTTGAAATTTGATGGAAAACTTACGGAATTTTGCTCTCGCAAAGTTAGCGGTCTCGATGTTTACGCATCGGCGATTTCACCCACTTGGAGCCCTATTTTCGGCCAATTCCAGTGTACTAGTCAACAAAAATCATAACTATTTTGCTAGAACTCCATTTTTTCTATTGAATGAGTACAGGAAACCACCCATTTATAGATTTCAACTATCCAATAAACCGGTCAGAAATTAGCAATTTTGCCAATTTCACACAAATTTCAAAAGAGGCCAGTTTCCAAATAGGGTCTAGAATAGGCAAGACAGACATTCCTGGCACTAAAATAACATTTCCTCTGTTCATTAGTCACGTCCCCAGGCCCCTCTTATGTTTCTTTTGCTTTCCACTTTGAATTTTTATTCTATCAAAAACTAGAAGATTTACTGTTATGCAGACTACTGCATTAGTGTAGAAATGGTATAAATAATTTCAGCGCACTTGTGAAAGAATATTAGACTCACCAGTTGACATCATTTGTTTACTTTTGAACTTTGGCAAAAATCGAACATTTCTGCTACTTAGAGCTCAATTTCAAGGTACTTTTCATTGTGAAACCAATCAAAATCATCCCAATTTTTGTAATATGTCTTCCATTCTATAAAATGAGATCAGGAAAACTAGAATACTACCATAAATACCATACGAAAATATAGTGCAAAGTCGCTGTTTTAAACCAAAAACTGTGCACACTGACCATAAAGACCCATTCTTTCATATGTAGGCCTACCAGCTTTGTCTCGCTAAATTTGGCGCTAGAATTGAGGCGTTCTAGTACGTCGATAACCCTGGTGCATAAGCCATACTAATACGTTGGAAACCCTGAAAGGGTTAACTGGCTTGACTGGCTTGACTGACTGACTGACTTGACTGACTGACTTGCTTGAATGACTGACTAACTTTACTGACTTAGGACCCTGACAAATCTAGAAGCAGTGCTCTGATATGGGGTCTAGAGGAGCAGATGCCTTACCATCAGCTGTATTAATGTACTGCAGGGTAAAATAGCCCTGAAATCACTACAGAATTTATGCACACTCCAAGTACAACCATCGACTTATTACCAGAACCTCTTCCATCCACCTCAGCCCAGTAATGCCAAAGCATAACTCTCCACTCTCTTCACAATCATCGACAAACACCAGCACCCACAATTTAAAGAGGTAAATGTTACTATCAACAACTTCATATGATGAATGAATTTCCAGGTATCCACAAATGTGTAGGTATTGTATTTACATAATTTCTGTCTCTACATTAGTGAAGAGTAGTGTTTAATTTTAGTATTTTTCTATAAATATTAGTCAATTTTTCTCATCCAGTGTTGAGATTTTATATATAAAAGTTTATTTCAGGATGAGCTGGGAATAAGAATAGTAAACGGTCGAGAGGCAGAGAGCATCGGCGCTAAGCCAGGGGACTCGGATGAAGATGACCCCAGTACGCCGGGCAAGCACAAATTCAGAGCAAAAATTATGAGGACCTCTCACTCACTGGATCCCTGGAAAAAGATTCTTCAAAGTAAGATGACCTTTATTCTATGAGTTTTTCCTGACTCTTAATTCACTTCAATTCTATAATCTTTTCCAAGTACATAATGTACTCCATAATTCTATAAACTTTCCCACTACTTAATTCACTAAGATAAGAATTTTGCAATCTGAAAGTCTTCAAGATGGAAGGACAGACTAAAAGTTCCTGTAGGGGGTGATTGATGAGGGTGGTTGTCATGATTGTTGGCCTGGAGGCTGCAAACTGCAATAGCTTGACTGATCAAGCAGTCTCCATGGAACCTGGCATAAAGCTTATCTGTGTCAGTAGTAACTTTTATAACTGGTCATAGGTAAGTTGCCAGGTAAATGACATTTAGAGAAACTTAGAATTTTTAAAGAGGAAAAATGTATGCTTGTAATTGAATACGATTAAATTATCAGCGTGTTAAGTAATTGAGACCAAAGAATTAACACTAGATGATGATGCAGGCTGTATGTATTATCAGTTTTATTCACTCTGGTTTATCCTTCAACATTTATCATCTACTGTATAATAGTTTTCTTAATGTTTCGAATATTGTTATTTAAACTTTCACTATTCAAAATATTTGTATAATTTTATCTTTTGCTTTTGATGCTTTCTAAGACACTTTCACTTTCACTCACTTCATCAGTCTTGCCAGAAGGGCTCCGATACTAAATAAATAAACTGCAGATATCCCCACCCTTCCTTCAGAGTGCAGACACATTACTTCCCACCTCCAGGACTCGAGTCCAGCTAACCAGTTTCTCTGAATCTCTTCATAAATGTTACTTTGCTCATACTCTAACTTGATTTCAAGTCATAAAAAACATTTGCCTCCACTCCTATCTAACACGCTCTCTCATGCTTTCTGGAAATCTAAGGTCCTCACAAACAAAACCTCCTGTACCCACTCTCTCCAACCTTTCCTAGGATGACACCTACCCTGCCTTTCTTCCACTGCAGATTTATAAACCTTCCAAGTCATTTTATTTTGCTCCATCCTCTCTGAATGTCTGAACTACTTCAACAGCTGCTCTTTAGCCCTCTGGATAATACTTTTAATATCCCCACTCCTCTTAATCTCCAAGCTACGAATTCTCTGCATAATATTTACATTTCGCATCGCCTTCAGACACATCTCCACTGCTTCCAGCCTCCTCGCTGTAATATTTACAACTCGTGCTTTACACCCACATAAGAATGTTAGTACTGCTATACTCTAATACATTCCCTTTTACACCTCCATGGATAACATTCTTTGTCTCCACAGATGCCTCAATTCACCACTCACCTTTTTTCCCCTCTCATCAATTCTGTGGTTCACTTGGTCTTTCATAGACCCCTCCATCGACAAATCAAACCAACCATTCCAAAAAACACATTCCCAGTTACTTTTAACATGTATGTCTTAATCCCATCTGTCCCAGTTGCTTTACCCCTTTTCATTCTACCCACTGACTCGTGCACATATCCCACATTCACGTCTTGCTCTTTTCTGCTCCTGTGTGATGATGATCTCCCTGTCCAGTGTAGGAAGACACAACCTGCTTTGAACATTTCCTGTATTTTCTGGCATATACGATGCACCACAATTTTGGCAGGCACATTCTGGAAAAATAAAAAAACTATTTCCTTGATCTTCATAGCGCTCCCGACTATTGGGTCATTTTAAAACTTTTTATCTATTCAAATCTGTAGTGTTTTTTTTTTTTTTTTTTAGGTTGGCCATTCCCACTGAGGCAAGGTGACCTAAAAAAAGAGAAACCCAAAACGAAAATAAAAACAACTTTCATTATCATTCAACACTTTCACCATCACTCAAACATAATCACTGTCTTTGCATAGGTGCCCAGATACGACAGTTTAGATAGTCACTCCAAACTGCCAATATCCCAAACCCCTCCTTTAACCCTTTGACTGTCGCGGTCGTATATATACGTCTTACGAGGTACCGTGTTTGACGTATATATACTCATAAATTCTAGCGGCTTCAAATCAAGCAGGAGAAAGCTGGTAGGCCCAGATGTGAGAGAATGGGTCTGTGTGGTCAGTGTGCACCATATAAAAAAAATCCTGGAGCACGCAGTGCATAATGAGAAAAAAAAAACTCCGACCGTTTTTTTTAATTAAAATGCCGACTTTGTGGCCTATTTTTGTATAGTATTTATGGTTGTATTTTCGTTTTTGTGGTCTCATTTGATAGAATGGAAAACATATTATAGAAATAGAGGTGATTTTGATTAATTTTTCTATAAAAAGAACCTTGAAATGGAGCTCAAAGTAGGGGAAATGTTTGATTTTTGCCAATGTTCAAAAGTAAACAAATGGTGTCATTGTCCAATAAATGTCCAACTAGCCATTCTGATATGCAGTCATGAATGGGTTGATGTTATTTATACAATTATTACAGTATTGCAGTAGTCTGCATAATAGTAAGTCTTCTATTTTTTGTTTGAATAAAAATTCAAAATAGAAAGCAAGAGTTATATCAGAGGGGCCTGGAGACATGACTGATGAACAAAGAATATGTTATTTTAGAGCCAGGAATTTTTGCAGTGTTCATTCTGGACCTTATTTTGAAATTGTCATATTTTTTAATTTTCGTGAAATTGGCCAAATTGCAAATTTCTGACCACATTATTGGGTAGTTGAAATCAGTAAATGGGCAGTTTCTTGTACTCAATCGATAGAAAAAATGGAGTTCTAAAGAAATAGCTATGAATTTGGTCGACAGGAACAACGGAATTAGCCGAAAATAGGGCTCAAAGTGGGCAAAGTCGCCGATTTGTAAATATCGCCGAGGTCGCTAACTTCGCGAGAGCATAATTCCGTCAGTTTTCCATCAAATTTCGTTTTTTTGGTGTCATTTCAATCGGGAAAAGATTCTCTATCATTTCATAAGAAAAAGTAATTTTTTTTGTTTTTTAAATTTTGCGACACCAGGAGACACCTCAGGATTGGGGGTTGCGACAGTCAAGGGGTTAAAGTATAGGCACTATACTTCCCATTTCCAGGACACGAGTCTGGCTAACCGGTTTCCCTGAATCCCTTCACAAAATATTACCCTGCTTACACTCCAACAGCTCGTCAGTTACCAAAAAACATTTGTCTCCATTCACTCCTATCTAACACGCTCACACATGCTTGCTGGAAGTCCAAGCCCCTCACCCACAAAATCTCCTTTACCCCTTCTCTCCAACCTTTTCGAGGACAACCTCTGCCCTGCCTTCCTTCCCCTACAGATTTATACGCTCTCCAAGTCATTCTGTATTAAACCCCACTATTTCCCTGTTTTTCATAGGCCTCCCAGCTACCAGGTTTATTCTAAGATCCTTGGCTATTGGATGTCACATACCATTTTCTCTGTTAGCATAGCCCAAAATGCCTTGCTACAGCTCAGTTCCCATGTTCCTTTGCAAACTTGATCACTTGTGGTTTATTACCGATTGAGTGTGCATGCCTTCTCTTTGAATCCATTATAATAGGGTTGGAATAGTTTTAAAAATGCAGTATTAGAATGTGGGGCAGAAGTTTGTGGTTATAGGAGGGTGGGTGCAGGAGGAAAGAGGAGTGATTGGTGGAATGATGAAGTAAAGGGTGTGATAAAAGAGAAAAAGTTAGCTTATGAGAGGTTTTTACAAAGCAGAAATGTTATAAGAAGAGTAGAGTACAGTGGACCCCCGGTTAACGATATTTTTTCACTCCAGAAGTATGTTCAGGTGCCAGTACTGACCGAATTTGTTCCCATAAGAAATATTGTGAAGTAGATTAGTCCATTTCAGACCCCCAAACATACACGTACAAACGCACTTACATAAATACACTTACATAATTGGTCGCATTCGGAGGTAATCGTTATGCGGGGGTCCACTGTATATGGAGAGTAAAAGAAAGGTGAAGAGAGTGGTGAGAGAGTGCAAAAGGAGAGCAGATGATAGTGGGAGAGGCACTATCAAGAAATTTTAATGAAAATAAGAAAAAATTTTGGAGTGAGTTAAACAAGTTAAGAAAGCCTAGGGAACAAATGGATTTGTCAATTAAAAGCCGAGTAGGGGAGTTAGTAGATGGGGAGATGGAGGTTTTAGATAGATGGCGAGAATATTTTGAGGAACTTAAATGTCGACAAAGAAAGGGAGGCGGTAATTTCATGCACTGGCCAGGTAGGTATACCATCTTTTAGGAGTGAAGTAGAACAGGATGTGAGTGTGGGGGAGGTGCGTGAGGCATTACGTAGAATGAAAGGGGGTAAAGCATCTGGAACTGACGGGATCATGACAGAATGTTAAAAGCAGGGGGGGATTTAGTGTTGGAGTGGTTGGTATTTTTGTTTAAGAAATGTATGAAAGAGGGGAAGGTACCTAGGGATTGCAGAGAGCATGTATAATCCCTTTTTATAAAGGGAAGGGGGACAAAAGAGATTGTAAAAATTATAGAGGAATAAGTTTACTGAGTATACCAGGAAAAGTGTACGGTAGGGTTACAATTGAAAGAATTAGAGGTAAGACAGAATGTAGGATTGCGGATGAGCAAGGAGGTTTCAGAGTGGGTAGGGGATGTGTAGATCAAGTGTTTACATTGAAGCATATATGTGAACAGTATTTAGATAAAGGTAGGGAAGTTTTTATTGCATTTATGGATTTAGAAAAGGCATATGATAGAGTGGATAGGGGAGCAATGTGGCAGATGTTGCAAGTACGTATATGGAATAGGTGGTAAGTTACTAAATGCTGTAAAGAGTTTTTATGAGGATAGTGAGGCTCAAGTTAGGGTGTGTAGAAGAGAGAGAGACTACTTCCCAGTAAAAGTAGGTCTTAGATAGGGAATGCAGCAGCGAGGAGGCGGTTGGAGGCAGTGGAGATGTCCTGTCTAAGGGCAATGTGTGGTGTAAATATTATGCAGAAAATTCGGAGTGTGGAAATTAGGAGAAGGTGTGGAGTTAATAAAAGTATTAGTCAGAGGGCTGAAGAGGGTTGTTGAGGTGGTTTGGTCATTTAGAGAGAATGGATCAAAGTAGAATGACATGGAGAGCGTATAATTCTGTAGGGGAAGGAAGGCGGGGTAGAGGTCGTCCTCGAAAAGGTTGGAAGGAAGGGGTAAGGGAGGTTTTGTGGGCGAGGGGCTTGGACTTCCAGCAGGCGTGCATAAGCGTGTTCGATGGAAGTGAATGGAGACATGGTATTTGGGACCTGACGATCTGTTGGAGTGTGAGCAGGGTAATATTTAGTGAAGGGATATAGGAGTTGACGTGTCGGCGGATGGATTTATGAAGGATGAGGTTAATCATAGAATTGATGAGGGGAAAAAAGGTGAGTGGTGCATTGAGGTATATGTGGAGTCAAAAAACGTTATCTATGGAGACAAAGAAGGGAATGTATGTAAGTATAGTAGTACCAACACTCTTATATGGATGTGAAGCTTGGGTGGTAAATGCAGCAGCGAGGAGACGGTTGGAGGCAGTGGAGATGTCCTGTTTAAGGGCAATGTGTGGTGTAAATATTATGCAGAAAATTCGGAGTGTGGAAATTAGGAGAAGGTGTGGAGTTAATAAAAGCATTAGTCAGAGGGCAGAAGAGGGGTTGTTGAGGTGGTTTGGTCATTTAGAGAGAATGGATCAAAGTAGAATGACATGGAAAGCATATAAATCTATAGGGGAAGGAAAGAGGGGTAGGGGTCGTCCTCGAAAGGGTTGGAAAGAGGGGGTAAAGGAGGTTTTGTGGGCGAGGGGCTTGGACTTCCAGCAAGCGTGCATGAGCGTGTTAGATAGGAGTGAATGGAGACGAATGATACTTGGGACCTGACGATCTGTTGGAGTGTGAGCAGGGTAATATTTAGTGAAGGGATTCAGGGAAACCGGTTATTTTTATATAGTCGGACTTGAGTCCTGGAAATGGGAAGTACAATGCCTGCACTTTAAAGGAGGGGTTTGGGATATTGGCAGTTTGGAGGGATATGTTGTGTATCTTTATACGTATATGCTTCTAAGCTGTTGTATTCTGAGCACCTCTGCAAAAGCAGTGATAATGTGTGAGTGTGGTGAAAGTGTTGAATGATGATGAAAGTATTTTCTTTTTGGGGATTTTCTTTCTTTTTTGGGTCACCCTGCCTCGGTGGGAGACGACCGACTTGTTGAAAAAAAAAAAAAAAAAAAAATATAGGGAAACCGGTTATTTTTATGTAGCCGGACTTGAGTCCTGGAAATGGGAAGCACAATGCCTGCACTCTAAAGGAGGGGTTTGGGATATTAGTAGTTTGGAGAGATATGTTGTGTATCTTTATACATATATGCTTCTAAACTGTTGTGTTCTGAGCACCTCTGCAAAAACAGAGATTATGTGCAAGTGAGGTGAAAGTATTAAATGATGGTGAAAGTGTTGAATGATGATGAAAGTATTTTCTTTTTGGGATTTTCTTTCTTTTTGGGTCACCCTGCCTCGGTGGGAGATGGCCGACTTGTTAAAACAAAAAAAACAAAAAAACAAAAAAAAAATTGGTAATTTGAAAATTAAAAACTTAAATAACTGTTTAACCAACAGTATTACGTTTGTCAGAGAGGACAGAAATATAATGGTAAATCAGTGATCATAATCATCTTTAGATAGATATGAATACAGGAAGGGCCTGCTTATACAGCAGGTTAGGTTCCTTGCTACTGCTCTAAAGCAAAAGTCACTGCAATGTGAAACAGTCTTTTTTCACTTTCACATGCTTATAAAAGCTTGATAACATGTTTACACTGTCATATATTAAGTGAGCAATAGAGCTAGGCATAAAAAATCCCACTGAGGCAGGGTGGCCTCCCCCCCCAAGAAATGTTTCTCTTTTTAACTTTAGTAATGTATACAGGAGAAGGGGTTACTAGCCCATTGCTCCTGGCATTATAGTCGCCTCTTACGACACACATGGCTTACTGAGGAAGAATTCTGTTGCACTTCTCCATGGAGAGTAGAGGAAATAAACAAGAATAAGAACTAGTAAGAAAATAGAAGAAAACCCTGAGGGTTATGTATACAGCCTCTCCTCAATTAGCAACATACTCGTTTACAAATAACTCAGACTTATGATGGGCTCTCTGACCAGTATGCATATCTAAATAATGTATATTAGAACTTACTTCCTCTATTCTGTTTGTTGCGATATACAGTACACTACTGTATAAACATTTAAAAATTTTTTTTTTTTTTTTTTTTCAACAAGTCGGCCGTCTCCCACCGAGGCAGGGTGACCCAAAAAAGAAAGAAAATCCCCAAAAAGAAAATACTTTCATCATCATTCAACACTTTCACCACACTCGCACATTATCACTGTTTTTGCAGAGGTGCTCAGAATACAACAGTCTAGAAGCATAAACATATAAAGATACACAACATATCCCTCCAAACTGCCAATATCCCAAACCCCTCCTTTAAAGTGCAGGCATTGTACTTCCCATTTCCAGGACTCAAGTCCGACTATATGAAAATAACCGGTTTCCCTGAATCCCTTCACTAAATATTACCCTGCTCACACTCCAACAGATCGTCAGGTCCCAAGTACCATTCGTCTCCATTCACTCCTATCTAACACGCTCACGCACGTGAGCGATTTAAAAATATATTGTTATAAATGGTGCAAAGATGACATTAAAACAATATCAAAGATGATTGATACAAACCCACTACAATTATAGTATGCTCTTTGCTTAGCGACAAATTCGTTTACCGACATGGTCTTAGGAACGGAACTCCGTTGTTAAGTGAGGAGAAGCTGTATATGTTCTTGTACATGCATGTGTAGTATGACCTAAGTGTAAGTGGAAGTAGCAAGATGTATCTGAAATCTTGCATGTTTATGAGTCAGAAAAAAGACACCTCAATCTTGCCATCTTGTAAAACAATTACAGGGTTCCGATTTACACTCGCTTGGCAGGATGGTAGTACTTTCCTGGGCGGTTGCTGTCTACCAACCTACTGCCTAGGTACATGTTACTTACCTTAAAATATTTTGTGGTGAATATATTTATTCTAGGAAGTGTGAATGAATGAAGACTGGGTGTAATTGAAAACTCCTGCATTAGCGAAGTACTGTAAAGTGGAGCCGTCCTGTACTCCATGCCCCTCTCAATGAAACAAATATTCCACTGAGTTGCAGTTTCACAGAGAAGATTAGATGTTTGTTTATGCTGAGTATTGGCTGCTTGCAGGCACAGTGTTTTCCAGCAGTCATAATGTAACATTAGTAAACAACCGCTCTATTGCTGTATTGTTTCTTAATTTCCACAACTTATGCAGCCCTTCTTTCTTTCGTTTTATATTATCTTTGTCATGGGAAATAGTTCCCAGTTACTAGGTTAGAAGTTTCATTAATATGACTGTTGTAACTGTGGAGTCCTGTTTTACAAGTGACCACCAGTTTGTGTTTACATCTTTGGTCATGACTCATTAGTAGTGTTTTTGCTGAAGTGGTCTTTTAATATCAAAGTACTATCAGTGCATATTGTTACCACCAAAAACACCACTTTCCAGTGACCCAAAGCCTGACCTTGAGCATATAAGGAGCAGGGTGATTTTCCAAGACTTGTTTGGGAAAAAAGTTCACTTTTTATGCTGGAAAATAAGGTAATAGCTTCTCAGAATATTCTCTCCATCTTGCCCGTACCTCACCTCCCACTCTGACATCTCTTTGTCCAGAAAATTTATTGTTGTCCTTGATTCTAAAAACAGTATTGAGGTTTAGTAACATTCTATCAGGCATAGGATTAGTACATATATTCTACTGTGCAACATGTATTTATTTTTCCTGAAGAAATTAAATAAAATGAATCTAATATGTGTAAATTGACTGGCATGTTATTTAATTTCTTGTTTCAATTTGCAGTGTGTAAATGCTTTAATACCTATGAGTTTATTAAACACTGCTTAACAAGGCTTAAAAGAGTATACTTTAACCCACCATGAAGTGGTAATGCCATTATTATTCTCTATTCTTTTCATAGTTCTTTCTTTCAACACACCGGCCGTATCCCACCAAAGCAGGGTGGCCCAAAAGGAAAAACGAAAGTTTCTCCTTTTACATTTAGTAATATATACAGGAGAAGGGGTTACTGGCCCCTTGCTCCCGGCATTTTAGTTGCCTCTTACAACATGCATGGCTTACGGAGAAAGAATTCTATTCCACTTCCTCATGGAGATAAGAGGAAATAAACAAGAACAAGAACTAGAAAGAAAATAGAAGAAGACCCAGAGGGGTGTGTATATATATGCTTGTACATGTATGTGTAGTGTGACCTAAGTGTAAGTAGCAAGACGTACCTGAAATCTTGCATGTTTATGAGACGGACAAAAGACACCAGCAATCCTACCATCATGTAAAACAATTACAGGCTTTCGTTTTACACTCACTTGGCAGGACAGTAGTACCTCTCTGGGCGATTGCTGTCTACCAACCCACTACCTAGTCTTTTCATAGTTATGTTAATTTTTTGGGTGCTCAGTAATCCTGTAACCCCTAAAGGAAGGTTCCTTGATGCTGGTGAGAGGCTCTTGATCAAAGGAATGTGACCTGGGCTCCAATTCCTTGAATATTCTGAATCTCTCTCATTCCTGTAGGTGCTGTATGACCCCTACAGGTTTAGCTCTCCCCATGAATGCATTAATGTAATCCTGTAAGGAAAAAAATGATAACGGATTTCAAGTTTACTCCTCCATTCTTGATTTGAGGGTTAAGAAGGTGCATTTGTTGTAATAAGTAATTTATAATATGTAACTCTTTGAAAGTTGGACTTCATCATTAATAGTTGGGTTACTTTAGGTGGTCAGATTCCTGATGCTAATATGATACATGCCATCCGGAAGCAGAGACAGCAAGCCAGAGAGCAAGGTGATATGCTTCCTCTAGATGATACTGTCAGGTAAGACACTTTCTGTCATTCATTTAAACAATTACATTTGTTTTAGAATTTAGTTCACAATTTTTTTGTGAGTTAATACTGAATTCTTCCAGCCATGGTGTTGTGACTTCCAGCCCATGGACCAGCAGATTATTTCTAACTTCAAAAAACTCTTCACCAATGCAGTGTTTGAAAGGTGCTTTGAAGTGACCTCAAACACTCAGTTGACCCTTAGAGAGTTCTAGAGGAAGCACTTCAGTATCCTCCATTGCATAAGCCTTATAGGTGAGGCTTGGGAGGGAGTGACTTCCAGGACTTAGAATTCTGCTTGGAGACAGTCGTGGCCACAATGTGTCGTCCAGAGGGATTTTGAAGGATTTAAGGCTGACCCTGACCCTGTCGACTCTCTGCCTGTTGTGGAAGGTATTGTGGCATTGGGCAAGCCCATGGGGTTAGAGGTGAGTGGTAAGGATGTGGAAGAGTTGGTGGAGGACCACAGGGAAGAGCTAACCACTGACGAACTGCAAGAGCTTCAACTGGAACAGCATCAGACCACAGCTGAGGAACTTGCTTCAGAAGAGGAGGAAGAGGGAGTGAAGGAGGTGCCTTCTTCAATGATTAAGGACATGTGTGCAAAGCGGAATGAGTTGCAAACTTTTGTCGAAAAGTATCACCCTGACCAAGCTGAAACAAGCCATATCTGCAACATGTTCAGTGACAAAACCTTGTCCCACTTCAGGGAAATCTTAGAGACGCCAGAAACAGAGTACTCTTGACAGTTATTTTGTGCGACAGGAGTCCAGTGACTCTCAAACTGGTCCTAGTGGCCTTAAAAGACAAAGAAGGGAAGTAAACCCAGATAAGGACTTATTACCTAAAGTCTTTATGGAAGGGGATTCCCCTTCCAAACAATAAGTCCTCCCTCTCTCCTCCCTATCTTCCAGATGCCATCAGGTCTCTTCAATAAACGGAAGTAAATGTTATTTTAAATGTTTATTTAAATTTTAGTTTATGTATTTTATAATATATATGTATTTTTCTGTGTTGTGTGTGTGTAAAACTATAGTTATTCTTTAAAAAATGTATTTTTTGTGAATATTTTTGTGGGTCTGAAACAGATTAATTGTATATGCATTATTTCTTATGGGAAATATTGCTTCGCCTTTCGCCGTTTTGAGTTTAGGCCTAGCTCCTGGAACGGATTACAGCCAAAACTCGGGGTTCCACTGTGCATGGGAGTAGTGGTGGCAGCTACCACAGAAAATAGTTATTATTTCTATTACTGTTAATAATTGTCTACTGAAATAAAACATCGAGGTCTATGTACATGTATGAAATGAACATACACAAAGTATGAATGTATTATGCAAAAATTAACAGAGAATTATTTTCTTAACACCAGCTGTCTCTCCTACCAATATAAAGTGACCCAAGGAAAAAAAGCAAACACATTCATTATTATTCATTAACCCTTTGACTGTTTTCGACGTATAAATACGTCTTACGAGCCAATGTTTCTGACGTATATATACTCAATAATTCTAGCGGCTTCAAATCAAGCGGGAGAAAGCTGGTAGGTCCACATGTGAGAGAATGGGTCTGTGTGGTCAGTGTGCACCACATAAAAAAAATCCTGCAGCACACATTGCGTAATGAGAAAAAAAAACTGATTGTTTTTTTGGAATAAAACGCCGACTTTGAGGTGTATTTTCGTATAGTATTTATCGTTGTATTCGCTTTTTCATGGTCTTAGGTGATAAAATGGAAAACATATTACAGAAATAGAGATGATTTTCATTACTTTGACGATGAAAACGACCTTGAAACTGAGCTCAAAGTAGCGGAAATGTTCGATTTTTACCAATGTTCAGGAGTAAATAAATCACACCACACGTCCAGTACACGTCAACTGGGGAGTCTAATATTCTTTCACTAGTGCACTGATATTATTTATACCATTTTTACAATAATGCAGTAGTCTGCATAACAGTAAATTTTGTATTTTTTTGTATGAATCAAAAATCAAAATAGAAAGCAATAATAATATAAGAGGGGCCTAGAGATGTGACTAATGAACAGAGCATATGTTATTTTAGTGCCACGAATGTCTACCTTGTTTATTCTGGACCCTATTTTGAAATTGGCATCTTTTTTAGTTTGTGTGAAATTGGCCAAATTGCCAATTACTGACCACCATATTGGGTAGTCCATATTAGTAAATGGGAGGTTTCTTGTACTTAGCTGATAGATAAAATGGAGTTCTAAAGAAATAGCTACGAGTTTGGTCAACTGGAACAATGGAATTGGCTGAAAATAGGGCTCAAAGTCGGCAAAATCGCCGATACGCATATGTCGCCGAGACCGCTAACTTCGCGGGAGCATAATTCCATGAGTTTTCGATCAAATTTCAAACTTTTGGTGTCATTACCATCGGGAAAAGATTCTCTATCATTTCATAAGAAAAAATATTTTTTTTTTTTTTCAAAAATTGAGCGACATAGAATGACAGTTTCAGAAAGGGGCCTGAAACAGTCAAAGGGTTAATAGTTGATGGTGAATTTTTTTTTTTGTTGGTGTGTCGATAAAACAAATGATCTTCATAGATAATTAAGTGGTTCAAAGGTGCCACTTTTGTAAGGTTGAAACTGCATTTTGAAATTCCACATGTACTCATTAACCCTTTCAGGGTCCGTCCCGTAGATCTACGGCTTTACGTTCAGGGTTCAAACCGTAGATCTACGCCATGAGCTCAGCTCACTCTGATAAACTGTGAGTGGTACATTTGGGCCTAGATATGAGAGAATACATCTATGTGGTATGTGTACACCACATAAAACAGATCCTGCAGCACACTGTGTATAATGAGAGAAAAAAAATGAAATCATGATTTTTCGATTAAAACAGCAACTTTGCAGTGTTTTATCGTATGTTTTTTTATAGTTGTATTTGCGATTTCTTGGTCTCATTTGATAGAATGGATGACATATTACAGAAATAGAGATGATTTTGATTGGTTTTAGCACTGGAAATGGCTTGAAACTGAGCTCAAAGTAGCGGAAATGTTAAATTTTTGCCGATATTCAAGAGTAAACAAACTACCTCACACGTCTAATACACGTCAGCTGGTGGGTCTAATATACATTCACAAATATGGTGATGATATTTTTACAATTATTACAGTATTGCATAACAGTAAATCTTCTATTTTTTGGTGTGAATAAAAATTCATTATGTGAATAAAAAATCAAAATGGAATTTATTTGTAAAGCCTCAAAACATAACTAATGAACAGAGGAAATGTTAGTTTAGTGCCAGGAATGCCTACATTGTTCATTCTGGACCCTATTTTGAAATTGGAATATTTTAAACTTTGTGTTAAATTGGCCAAATTAACAATTTCCGATCACTTTATTTTGTAGTTGAAACAGTTGACTTGGCGATTTCTTGTGCTCAATCGATAGAATAGAAGTAATACTAGTGAAATAGCTAAGAATTTGGTTGATTGGAATAATGTAATTGGCCTAAAATGGGAGTCAAAGTCGGCAAAATCGCCGATTCGTAAATATCGCTGACACATCAAAATTCGCGAGAGTATAAGTTCGTCAATTTTACACCAAATTTCGTACTTTTTGTTTTATTACCTTCACAAAAAGATTCTCTACGATTTCATAAGAAAAAATAACAAATTTTTTTTTTGAAAATTCTTGGACACTGGTGCGTGACTCCAGATTTGGGCCTTGGACCCTGAAACGGTTAATATGTGGCTATGGGTTGAGTCTTAGTTCCTGGCCCTGCCCGTCCATTTATTGCATGCCAGATTCACTCTTAGTCTCATGGGCTTTATCATGCCTGCTATTAAACCTGTGCATGGAGTGTGACTCCACCACTTCTTCACTGATATTATTCCACTGTCTGACTACTATGAGATTGGAAAAAATATTTCCTGACATTCCTGTGGCTCATCTGTGTCCCCAAGTTCCCATTTCTTACCTCTTGACCCTTAAACTGTCCAAACGTAGATCTACGTTGACGTGCGTAGTGCTCCGATCGTAGAGCTACGTTTTTTACATAAAGCATGTAAAATTGGACGTAGATCTACGTCCAGAGCGTTACGCATGTCAATGTAGATCTACATTTGGACAGTTTAAGGGTTAAACAGCCTACCGCTGTCTACTCTTTCAATTCCTCTTAAGTGTTTTGGGTGTTATCATCATATCTCCCCTAGTTCTCTGCCCTTCAGTGTCATTAGATTTATTTCCATTGGCCTTTCCTCATAGCTCGTAAGTCTTATCTGAGGAACAAACCTTATTCCTGAGTTAAGAAGTATGAGTCTTCTGCACATTTTTTTCAGTTTCTTAACATGGTTCCTTAGTTGTGGGCTCTTTACTGATGATGCATACTCAAAAATGGGCCTAACATATGTTGTATCAAGTGCCCGGAAAGACCTTGTTGAGATTCCTGAAGACCACTCCTAGATTACCGGGTGAGCATTGATGTGAAATGATATGCATTATGCTCATCACTAAGTCCTTCTTATTGAGTGAGGTCTGCAATCTTTTCTCTGAGATTATACACACTATCCAGTATTCTGTCTCCTTACCTGATCTTTGTGACCTTACATTTGCTGGGGTTAAATTCAAGCAACCATTATCTGACTACTCTTGCAGATTTTCAAGGGGCATTTGCAGTGTTTCCATGTCCTCATCTGTTTTTATTCTTCTCATCAGTTATACATCATCAGCAAACAGGGATACATCTGACTTTGTCCTGTCGGGAATATCATTAACATAAATCAGAAGCAGTACAGTGGACCCCCGCATACCGTTGGCCTTACATAACGTTAAATCCGCATACCGCTACATTTTATTGCTAAGATTTTGCCTTGCATACCGCTAAAAAACCCGCTCAACGCTGTTCGTCCGAGACACGTCTATGTGCGGCCTGAGCCACTCACATGTTCCGCCGGTGGCATTGTTTACCAGCCAGCCTCCGCGGTAACATCCAAGCATACAATCGGAACATTTCGTATTATTACAGTGTTTTTGGTGATTTTATCTGCAAAATAAGTGACCATGGGCCCCAAGAAAGCTTCTAGTGCCAACCCTTCAGCAATAAGGGTGAGAATTACTATAGAGATGAAGAAAAAGATCATTGATAAGTATGAAAGTGGAGTGCGTGTCTCCGTACAGCTGCTGCTGCTGCTGTACCACCGTCAGCTGCTGCTGTACCACCGTCAGCTGCTGCTGCTGCTGCACTGTCAGCTGCTGCTGCTGCTGTAGCACCATCAGCTGCTGCTGTACCACCGTCAGCTGCTGCTGCTGCTGTAGCACTGTCTGCTGCTGCTGCTGCTGTAGCACTGTCAGCTGCTGCTGCTGCTGTAGCACCGTCAGCTGCTGCTGCTGCTGTGCACCGTAAGCTGCTGCTGATGCTGCTGATACCCACCGTAGCTGCTGCTGCTGCTGTAGTTACCGTATGCTTGCTGCTGGAGATCGTTCCTGCTGCTGTAGCACTGTCAGTGATGCTGCTGTTGTACCACCACAGCTGTGCTGCTGTTAGTCCGTCTGCTGTGCTGTAGCATGTCTGCTGCTGCTGTCGCATCGTCTGCTGCTGCTGTAGCACTGTCAGTGCTGCTGCTGCGGTACCACCGTCAGCTGCTGCTGCTGCTGTTGTACGTTGCTGCTGCTGTCGCATTCGTTGCAGCTGCGGTTAGCACTGTCAGGCTGCTGCTGCTGGCTGTAGCACTGTCAGCTGTGCTGCTGCTGTTTATAGCACTGTCAGCTGCTGCTGCTGCTGTACACCCTCAGCTGCTGCTGCTGCTGTAGTACCGGTCTGTGCTGCTGTAGCAGCGTCTGCTGCTGCTGTGCAACGTCTGCTGCTGCTGTTAGCATCGTTGCTGTGCTGTATCATGCAGGTGCGCTGTGCTGCTGCTGTAGCACGTTGTTGGTGTGGGCTTATTGAGAATACCAAGAAACAATTAACCCAGAGGATTAGCCACCCAGGATAAACCAAAAAAAAGTCAGTGTCATCAAAAGACTGTCTAACTTATTTCCATTGGGGTCCTTAATCTTGTCGCCCAGGATGCAACCCACACCAGTCACTAACACCCAGCGTGAACAGGGAAAAATGCCTGGAACTAGTGTCATATTGTGAATTTAAAGGCAGCAATGGTTGGTTTGGGATTTAAGAATCGTAGTGGCATCCACAGTGTGGTAAGGCTTTTCTGGAAGAAAAGTCAAACAGAACCTACAGTACTCAGGAGGAAAAGGCACTCCCTGGAAACAGTCTCTCAGTCATGCTGCATCTTAATAAAGGTAAAGTTCATTTATTCTTCATTTAGTAGAGAAGTACATGCACAATATATACTGTGCATGTACTACTCTACTATTGTGCATGTATCCTTCTCTTTGTGTGTAGGAAAATGTATATTTCATGTGGTAAAATTTTTTTTTCATGCTTTTGGGTGTCTTGCACGGATTATTTGATTTACCATTATTTTTTTTCTTATGGGGAAAATTCATTCGCATAACGATAATTTCGCATAACAATGAGCTCTCATGCACGGATTAATATCGTTATGCGGGGGTCCACTGTATTTGCCTTACTGCAGATCCTTGTGGCACCCTGCTTATTACACTTACCCATACTGGAAAGTTTTTTTTTTTTTTTTTCCTCAACAAATTGGACGTATCCCACCAAGGCAGGGTGACCCAAAAAGAAAAACGAAAGTTTCTCTTTTTAAATTTAGTAATTTATACAGGAGAAGAGGTTATTAGCCCATTTCTTCCTGGCTTTAGTCGCCTCTTACAACACGCATCGCTTACGGAAGAAGAATTCTGTTCCACTTCCCCATGGAGGTAAGAGGAAATAAACAAGAACAAGAACTAGAAAGAAAATAGAAGAAAACCCAGAGGGGTGTGTATATATGCTTGTACATGTATGTGTAGTGTGACCCAAGTGTAAGTAGCAGTAGCAAGACGTACCTGAAATCTTGCATGATTATGAGACAGAAAAAAGGACACCAGCAATCCTACCATCATGTAAAACAATTACAGGCTTTCATTTTACACTCACTTGACAGGACAGTAGTACCTCCCTGGGCGGTTGCTGTTTACCAGCCTACTACCTTTCTTTTGTTTCTTAATCTCAGTTATTACCTCAGCTAATTTGCTTTAGACTTCAAATGTGTTCTAATACTATATTTCATTTTGTAATTATGTTCTGAAGCATGTTTCTCTCTTCATCTTGCTGAACACTGACCTTTACTCAGTTGCAGTATGGAAGACTCACAGAAAATTAAGAAATACTGTAGTTAATCTTTTAGAGAATACATAATGCACTGATACCTTTAGTAATTTATTAAAAGTCATTATTTCATTTTTATTATTATTACAAATATGATCTGCATTCAGACATGAGGAAACCAAAAGTCGTCTGGTACGTGATGATGACAACGATCGCAGTGATGATGATGGGGAAACCCGCATGGATTTCTCTGTGAATCAACATGCACGAGACAGACAACAACGACAGGAAGCCTTTGAAGCAGCACAAGGTAGGAAATTTAAAGCAGTTTTATGCTTGTTATGTAAAAGTAATAATTCTCTCTTTTACATTAATGTAGAGGAGGTACCTGCTTTATGGAGATTCACTAATATGGACATATCAAATATGACCAAAAAAAAAAAAATAAGTTTGTGGCTCCCTGGTTCATTATTATGGCATCTTCGCACCACTCTTGTTTGTTGACATCCTCCATGAACTCCTTGTCTCTCGGTTATGCCTGGAAACTTTCCAGAATTTCAAGTGTTTTAAAGTTACTGCATATTTTATGTGTACTCTGATTATTATACTTATGTGTACCTGTACAGTATCTAAATAAACTTAAACTGCTGACATGCAGATACACATTAAAATCGCTAAGAGTGTCTCACTAGTGTTGAAGATGCCATAATAATAATAATAATAATAATAATGTAGGTCGTAGGTTGGTAGGTAGACAGCAACCAACCCAGGGAAGGGTACTTCCGTCCTGAAGTGAGTGTTAAAACGAAAAGCATGTAATTGTTTTACATGATGGTAGGATTGCTAGTGTCCTTTTTTCTGTCTCATAAACATGCAAGATTTCAGGTACATCTTGCTACTTCTACTTACACTTAAGTCACACTACACATACATGTACAAGCATATATATATAAACATACCCCTCTGGGTTTTCTTCTATTTTCTTTCTAGTTCTTGTTCTTGTTTATTTCCTCTTATCTCCATGGGGAAGTGGAACAGAATTCTTCCTCTGTAAGCCATGCGTGTTGTAAGAGGCGACTAAAATGCCGGGAGCAAGGAGCTAATAACCACTTCTCCCGTATAAATTACTAAATTTAAAAGAGAAACTTTCGTTTTTCTTTTTGGGCCACCCTGCCTCAGTGGGATACGGCCGATGTGTTGAAAGAAAATAATAATAATAATAATAATAATAATTGCTATGGGGTGCTTTAAATGTTGTATGTTAATATAGACATTTTCATTAATCCATCTGTGATATTTTTCCAAAATTATATAAGGAACACGCTGCATATAGACACACAATACAGCCTCTCCTCACTTAGTGATGTACTCGTTTGCCAATGACTTGGACTTACGATGGGCTCTCTGACTAGTATGCATACCTGTCCTGGGAGACAGTAATGGTGAAGCTGGAGATGCTGTCCTGGGAGACAGTAATGGGGAAGCTGGAGATGCTGTCCTGGGAGACAGTAATGGTGAAGTGGAGATTTTTGTCCTGGTAGTCGGGAATTATACGCAGGAAGGAATACATATAAATGACCCCATAGGGGACAGGAGCCATAGTAGGGAAACAAGTGTAGTCAAAGATAAGATAAAACCAATATTGCAAACTAGAAATACCGCAGGAAATAGCAAACAAGAGGACTCCACTAGCAATAGTGAGGATATATTACCAAAAACCAAATGGTGGGAGCTCCATTGTTGGTGCTAGGGAGGATAGAAGTAAGACAGGGAAACATGCACCAACCGGGACATACAGTCACAGAAACCCAAGGGCAATTCGGAAACCAAGCCTGTGCACATACTTGCCTCGTATTGCTGGCATGGGAAATCTGGAAAAACAGATGGACGTGCAACTATGACCACCCTAGGATATGCATGCCATATGACAACAGGAAAAATGCAAAATCCCTTCCTGTAAGCTTTTTCACCCTGAACTGTGTACCTCTCAGTACAGGAAGACTGTGCTATAACTTAAATTGCAGGCATACATCTAAAGGGGCCAAAAAGAACAAAAACATCCAGGCCATGGGAAAACCTGGGTAGCCACAGAAATCAAGAGGGAGAGGTTTTTAGTGCCAGGAAGGGAAAAAAAATGGCAGGAAACGGCAGAAATCGTCCACCAAATCAGTCATTACTGGAGTGGAACACAGTCGATGGCCTCCACTCCAAAACCAAAGATACCGATTACTTAATGCCGGAAAAAAAATCCCCCCCCAGTACCAACAATACCACCAGTCCGATAACATTATTCTTTGCAATTATACAGGGTCTAAAGCCAGCAACAAACAACAAAATACCTTTCACCGTGGGACTGCTTGCAGAGGCCAAAGGCAATGTTCGCGGCTTTCCTCTGAGACCCATAAAGGATCAATTGGACAACGAAATATGGATCCCAGTTACAACCTATACTGATGTGACAGAGTGAACAGGCAAAAGGTGGGGTTGGCCTGTACATTGCAGAGTCACTGGTTTGCACAGAACTGCTAAATGCCTCAAATGAGTAGTGGAAAGTTTTTAGCAGTAAAGGTCGAGAACCCAAAATAGTCATTGTGATAGTTACAAAGCCTCCGGATGCAACATCCCAGCAATTTCCAGGCACAGCTGTTAAAAATTGCCACTGTCTGGAAAACCTTCCAGCTCCTGATCACCCAACATCTTGCTCCTGGTGGGATTTAACTTATAAGGCACCTAAAAATGGAGGAATATAGCAATAATTTTGTTGCAGTAATAACACCAGGAGGCAGCTATGATGAAAAACTCACACTCACGGGAGCTTGTAATCTCTGCACAAAATTCAATTTAAACCAGCAAATATTAGAGCCTACTAGACGGAGAATACACTAGACCTCATCTTCAACTAACAATGATGATCTGATAAGGGAAATTATCACATATCAAAAACAATATACTCAGATCACAACATATTGAGGTTCAGTCATGTATGCGAGGTGCCCCAGACGACATAATGAGGATTAGTCACGAGGGAGCATTCACCAAAAATTCAACTTCAATAATAAAAACATAAAGTGGGACCATGTAAACCAAGTCCTAACCGATTAAGCTGAAGATATATAATGCAACACAGACCCCAACTTATGCTAGATAAACAGATTAATCGGTGGCACTCGATGTATGCACAAGGCTTATTCCTCTACGAAAAAGGAGAGTAGATGTAAAACAAGAAAGAGACAGGCGGCTCCTTCAGGCGACGAAAAAGAATAACAGAGCGGCTAAAAGGAGGTCAAAAATCTGAAATGCGTAGGGCGACACTGGTCAGAGAAGAAATAGCAAGCATCGAACTTAAGCTAAAAGGAATCCATTAGGAGTCAGGAATGCGGGAAGAACTAAAAGCCATAAATGGGAAATCGAAAGCAACCCAAAGTATTTCTTATCCTATGCCAAATCAAAATCGAAGAACAACGGCCAGTATTGGGGCCCTACTGAAACAAGATGGGTCCTACACAGATGACAGAAGGAAATGAGTGAGCTCTCAAGTACCAATAATGACTCAGTTTTTTAGGAAGCCGTTAACCGACTTGAGAGTCGAAGATCAAATGTATTTTTTCTGAGAGAGCCACAAAAATTTGATTAAACACAGCCTATCGATGTTATCCTGACGAAAATGACTCAACAGGCGATAAATGACATGCCCATGCACTCTGCCCCAGGGCCAGACTCATGGAATCTGTGTTCATCAAGAACTGAAAGAAGCCCCTATCACGAGCCTTTTCCATCCTATGGGAGGGAGCATGGCCTCGGGGGTCGTCCCACGTTACTAAAACAACAGGACTTAGCCCCTCCAAAGGGGGCAGTAAAGCAACAGCAAAGAACTACAGACAATAGCACTAACTCCCATATCATAAAATCTTTGAAAGGCGTCCTAAGAAGCAAGTTCACCAGCATCTAGAAACCCATCAGTTACACAACCCAGGGAAACATGGGTTTAGAACAGGGCGCTCTGTATGTCTCAACTATTGGACCACTACGACAAGGTCCATAAATGCACTAGAAGACAAAAGAATGAGATGTAATATATTCAGACTTTGCAAAGCCTTGACATGGTGTGGACCATGGGTAATAGCGAACAAAATGCGTGCTAAAGGAATAACAGGAAAAGTCGGTCGATGGATCTATAATTTCCTCACTTACAGACACAAGAAGAGTAGTCGTCAAACAAGTAAAGTCCGAGGCAGCTAGGTGTAAATGCTCTGTTCACAAGGCACAGTCTCGCTCCCATCTTGTTCCTCATCCTTATATCGGACATAGACAAGGGATGGTCAGCCACAGCACCGTGTCTTCCTTTGAGATAACACCCGAATCTGCATGACAGTGTCTTCCATTGCAGACACTGCAAAGCTCAAGGCAGGCATCAATCCAAATCTTTCAGTGGGCTGCCTGCAGGAAAACAATATCGAAGTTCAACGTTGAGAAATTTCAATTACTCAGATATGGTGTAAACATGAGGGAAATTAAATCTTCATCAGAGTACAAAACAAATTCTGGCCACAAAATAGAGCGAACACCAACGTTCAAAAGACTAGGAGTGATCATGTCGGAGGGATCCTCACCTTCAAGGCCATTAACATTGTATCAATCGCATCTGCTAGAAACAATGACAGGATGGATAACGGATACCTTCAAAACTCGGGAGGCCAAGCCCATGATGACACTCTTCAGGTCATTGTTCTTCTCGGCTGGCATATTGCTGCACCACTCACTGCACTTTCAAGCAGGTGAAATTGCCGACCTAGAAAATGTAAGAGAACTTTCACGGCACGCATAACGGAGATAATACACCTCAATATTGTGAGCGCTTGGAGGTTCCTAAACTGTATTCCCTGGAACGCAGGAGGGAGGGAGATACTGATTATTACACATGGAAAATCCTAGAGGGACTAGTACGACTTGCACCGAAAATCATCATTACGAAAGCAAAATGGAACTTGGCAGACGATGCACATCCCCCCAATGAAATAGCAGGGGTGTCACTAGCTCGTTAAGAGACCATACCAATAAGTGTCAGGGCCGAGGACTGTTCAACTGCCTCCCAGCACACATAAGGGGGATTACCAACAGACCCCTGGCAGTCATCAAGCTGGCACTGGACAAGCACCTAAAGTCAGTTCCGGATCAGCCGGGCTGTGGCTCGTATGTTGGTTTGCGTGCAGCCAGCAGCAACAGCCTGGTTGATCAGGCTCTGATCCACCAGGAGGCCTGGTCTCAGACCGGGCCGCGGGGGCGTTGACCCCCGGAACTCTCTCCAGGTAA